ATTGGTTGTGCAGCCGTGAAGTCGGAATTACAAATCAGAAAGCCTCGGGATTAAGATTCCGAAGGAGTAGAGTTTAATTACAACAAGCTCTCTCAAGCATTACCGCACCACTTGCAGCAGTGTACACAACACTAATCTGTGCTAACAGCCTGCCCTACAAGTTGTTCTGCCATTTGGCAATTCGGGCTTGGAAATGTGTTCTGCTGCCTGGGCTGGCTCCTGGGCAGCCAGCAGAGACCCAGCTCTGGGGGGCTCAAGGCACCCAGCTTGTCCTGGGGGCTCAGCTTTTAACCACTGTGGGGATGGAGCAGGAGCAGGAGGTGCTGGAAAAGCCTGGAATTGTTCACGCCCGGGATCGCTCGGCGTGTCTGAAGTGTGCAAAAGCAGTAGCTGGAGAGCTGGTGGCTCAGGGCAAGCTCCAGCTGACTGTGTTCCAAGTCAAACACAATAAGCTGTAAACCCAATGGAATGTGAAAAAAATTCATACCTTAGTGAACCGTAAACAGAATCATGAATGATAAAATTTAATCAAAATGTAACATTGCCTTCGGGATTCAGATCCAGTGTCTTTTGATGATTAGCAGGATTATCAAATGTAGATGCTCTTTTGAATACCATAATGTTGTAACGTTGCACTTTATGGAACATCAATGCCAGAAATAATTTAACACCTGCACATAAATCATTTTGCAATTATCTTTTGGGAATTATTTTATCTTAATCTTTTTATTTTGTTCCAAATAAAATTAGAGAGGAACACTGAAAGATGACACTAGGTGAAACAGAGGAAGGATAGGAGCACTGTCAGGTTATATAAACTAAGCTAAATGTCTGTTTTCTATTATTTAATTTTTAGATTGACATGCAGCTTTGGCTAAGGACTGTAAAACAGAATTGGTTTGTGTGTATGTACATATAGTTAATTAAATGAAGGTTTAACTCAAGATTGAAAATACACGTACTGTGCTCTTTAGCATTAACAACAGGTATATTAAGGCTGGAAAACCTTGAACCTGTTGATCCTCCTTTCCCTAAAGCAAAACAGCCACCTAAGTTTGGGACTTAGAAGATTATCAGTCAGGAGTTACAAAAACTATTCTCTGATCAGGGAACAGAAAAGAATCAAAGTTAATTCTTCCTCACCTTGTGGGGAGCTGGGGGTACAAACCCCTGTGCAGCCAGAGAGGAAAACTGCCCCAGGTAACTTCCAAAGTGGTGCTGGGTGGGTCACTGGTGTTAATAGGAACTGGGGCTAAATCCCATCAATCCTTTGAAAGCTGAACCCCCCATGCTGGGAGGATGTAATGATGGGCTGTGTCCGCAGAACAAAATAAGACAGAAATAAATTATTGCATTTGGGTGCACTTGGATTGTGTTCCAGCATCTGACCAGCTTTATCTCAGCAGTGTTTTGAAAGGGAATTCTTGAAACCCTATTGCCAACAACTTTGCTTTCTGCTCTGAATCATCACTGCGGAGTAAAATCTCCAGCATGTAATAGTGACAGTAATGATAAGCAAGCAAACTGTGACAGCAACAATGTAGATGTCACTTTATATTAGGCCAAAAGAATGACAAAATGCCTCACTCAGGGTGTCAGTAACCAGTGGGCCAAGTTCTGCCTCAACAGATTTTCATGTGAGCTCCTGCAAACATATGAAATACCAGCAACTGGCTTGTATTTTTGTATAAATCCTTGTAATTTTCTGTACCTGTTTGTCGTTGGAAAGTTTTCCCCTGTGTGCACGGGGAGTGTCAGCAGGCTGTGCAAAGCTCACCTTCCTATCTGCCAGCAGGAGCTAAAAACTGAGCCTTGGGGATTCTTTTGAAAAAGAAAAAGAAAAAAAAATTACTGGTCTATTTACTAATTTCAAACAGTGGAAGGGTGAAATTAAACAGGTAACTCAGGAAATGCTGTGAGCTCTTTGGATGGGAGTTCCCCATGGATGTGACAAGGAACAGCCCTCAGTGAATAGCACAGCCTTTATCCTAGGGCTGTGCTCCTGGTCAAAATTTGACCAAAGAAATTCACAACGGTGGAAATAACTGTGCCATTTTAGTGTGATTCAAGGATTTATTATGTTATTTTTTCCTTCCTAGTGTATTTCCATACCTGTGTGTTCCTTCCAGCTCAGGACATGTTATGGTTCTGTGATTCATGCAAATGTTTCAGTCTTGTCTTGGGAGAATTCAATATTTCTGCCCAAGAGAAAACCTTGCATTGAGATATTTCAGTAGGTCTGAGCTTGGAGGAAGAGGTTTTTGAAAGTCAAAGGGAAGGAAAGTTTCGGTGTAAATATTGTTCAGGCTGGACAATATTGTGTTTAGAAAACAAACACTTCACTTTCTCTGATGGGTCTGCACAGAGGATGAAGCCACACACTAAGCAACCAAATTTTCAAAAATGCAGAAGACTTTGTTAAATAAAGATAAGCAATGCACTGGACTAAACAAAAAAGATTTTGGTGTTTTGGTTTTGCTTGTTGGGCTTTTATGTATATTTCTTTAAAGCTGTAATAATACATGTGCACTGGAGTGCTGTTAAAAATGTTGGCATCTGTTATCTTAATTTCTGATTGATTTTCTAATCAAGTGATCCTAAATAATATTCCCTTTAATTATTATTAGCAATTATTAGCAATTATTTTGGCATTTGCTCACCAGTACTGAGCAGGTTCAGCTGCTTGGCCTTTCAGTAATCACTTTCAAGTCTATTTAGATACAAACACTGATGCTCCTACATCTTCAAACCTGGAGAAAGGTTAGAAAGAATAAAGATAGGGTGATCTCCTTATATAGGAAATTAAGTGTAGCCCTGGCTTCCTTTAAAGTTCTTTGCCTTCACTGTATAACACAACATATGGGGCAGTAAAATTCAATGTGAGAAGGTGGGGAGAATGTTTTAATAAGGCTCATAATAGGGATTCTGATCAATTCTAGATTTTAAGAATGTAACATGAACCCAACTACTATTAACATAAATTATGCAAATCGCTGATCAGGGATGGAATCATTATGCCACACTGACTATAAAGTAAAAGCACAGAAAAGCTTTTGTAATTTGAAATGGAAATTAAACCAAGCGAAAGATGCTCCATACCCATGGGATTTCTTCACAGTATCAGTGCAGGAATTAAAAGGTTGCTTCAGTTCTTTATGTATCCCACTAGGACTTTGACAATGTCTTAGTTTACTATCACAATGTCTGCACTGAAATTCAGGAATGGGCTTCACTGTCCAGATTTGATTTCCCCCACCATCATTTACATTCTCACAAAATCTGAGAGGCACTGCAGTGTGGAAAAATGGTGGTGAACGTTTGAAGGATCTGACTGAGCTCTGAAACATCTCTGAACAGTCCTTGAGGAGAACAGTGAAGGGACTTAAGAATAGAGCTCTGTTATCAGCTTGAGTGTCTGGATCAGAGTCGTAGGTCAGCTGTGGTCACTTCTGGAATTGCTCTGGAAAGTTTAGGGTGCTTTGGGTTTTGTTGGAAGTGATAAGAAGTCACCCTGAAGCTTTCCATGGAGATGATGTTCCTGTAGCTGCAACCTCTAATTAAAATCAGCAGGTAGGGAGGCTGTGGGGCTCTTGTTTGTGAGGTTGTTACTCCAGCATGGATATTTCCGTGTGTTTATACCTGCAGTGATGTTCCTGACACACAAATCAGTGTTCAGAGCTGGTGGAAGTTTCTCAGCACTTGTTTAGATTTCATTGACTGTAACATTCTTTAACAAGAATAACATAAATTATTCTTATGTAACAGATGGAAATGGAGGCCTGGAATATCACTGAGTGTCACTGTTGGAATGCTGAACAAGAAGGATGCTAAGAGAGGCAGAGCAGAGCTCGCTGTGCTGCCTTGGGGTGCGTGGCTGCCCAGTGAGACCCCGGGTGCAGCAGCTCCCAGCCCTGCTCAGTGGAACACCACAGTTTGCTCTCCCTGTGCTCCCTGCAGTGTGCCAGAGGCAGCAGGGCTGCTCTCCACATACCAGCCCTCCCAGAGATGTGCCTGGGCAGCACTAGAGTGTGTTTGTTCTGATTTAGCAACTATGTGAGGCAGCAGCAGAGCTGTGGAGAGCTCTACAGGGCTGGAGTGCTGGACAGAGAGGAGATGGGTGACCTGAGCTTCACAGGTCACCTATGCACCATCCTGGACACGGAGCTGTCTTTGCAGACTCCCTAGAAAACCCACTGGGGCCCACCAGAGAGGAGGGACGTGTTCTGGGGCTGGTACTCTGCCCCCCTGGACAGTTGCCCAAATAGTTCCCTACTTTATTAACAGGCAGTGTTATTTGTCAATTCATCCCACAGCCTCCAGCCCAGGAATTTTGTTGGGGATGCAGAAGGGAAAAGTGAAAAGATCATGTAAAAAAATCACTCCATGAATTGAAAGCTTTGACACTAATAATGATCCTCTCGCTGTGATATCTGGTACCTAACCAAAGTTGTGTCAGAGTGCACACAGGCGAGAACTGGGAGCTATAAAATCTCTCTCTCTGGGCTTTGGGTTTTCACATGTGTTTGGTTTGAGGCAAGTGGGTACATGAAAAGAACCACAGAAAGTTGCATTTAGTAGTCAGGATACGTTAGGCTCTTGAATCATTTACACTAAAGACATTTCGAAGTGTTAGCTTCTTACTTAAGGAAAGGTTTAATAAATTGCATGTAAAATATTCCCATGCTTATTCTACAGTTGCCTCACTTGACTGTAAAAAGGCACTTCTTGAAACAGAACGCCAAACTGAGCTGCTCTCATTTATCATATCTCTGGAAGTTAGTGGCATTTCTTTCTCTCTCATTTCCTGGAAGAAGCAGAAGGAAAAGCCCTGATTGCAGGTTAAACAGTGTGCATCCTCTAACTGCTGCACCAAATTGTGCTTAATGCATTTACTTTGAATCCAAAGCCTGGAGGTTTTAACTCTGTGTGCCTTGAAATGAAAGTACACTCTGGTGATGAAGAAGGCATTTGCCTTCAGGTTGGGAAAAATTGAAGCTCACGTCATCTCGGCATGATTAGAGCTGGAGTGTACTGCTGACCTGGGGGCATGCAGCAACAGGCAGCAGGCACAGGCATAGCCAGTTCATTCTCTGCCTCTTGAGAACGAGGCTGTAGCACGGTGAAAATCCCTCCAACAAGAATAATAAAGATCATAATTATTAAGTAACCAAGGGATAAAAATATTTGGGAGTGTCATTACAGTGCTCACAGTGCTCAGAGTATGGGGTGTGTTCAGGGGCATAGAAATAAATTGTATTTAATCAATATAAAATTAAAGGTCAGTCTTAGGAGTGAGGCTTAGTTTAAGGGAATTATACCACTCTTACAGGCTTGCAGAGTTTGCGCTTCAATTAAGCAGTGTAAGTGTGAAGAATCAGGTTATAAACTACAGAAACTCTATCCTAGTACCAATTATTAAAGTCAGTAGTAGTGTAAACACCTTGGCCCTCTGCCTGGCCAGACTAATTATCAAAGTAATAACACTGTGATATTTCCACAGTAAAACTGAATCCTTGTAATAATCCCCAGACCTGATTCCACATCAATATACTACTCATTCATTTTCTGTTCCCTCCCCTTGCTTTCCTTCACAGTAGTTTCTAGAAGGACTCCCCATCCCTGGCAGTATCCAAGGCCAGGCTGGACAGGGCTTGGAGCAGCCTGGGACAGTGGAAGGTGTCCCTGCCCATGGCAGGGGTGGGACTGGATGGGTTTTAAGGTCCCTCCAACCCAACTCAGTCTGCGATTTATAATAAATATTTGCACTTGTGGGTTGCCTAGTTAGAGTTTGCAAAGGCACAAGTGGGCTGGGGTTAATTAATAGTAATTGAGCATGACCTCAAACTCGAGTCTTCAATACATTTGAAGAGATGAAAAGGGAGTTATGAATCTTCTGTGAAGAATAATATCACAAACAAGGAGGATTCTGAAGTTTGAGACTTCAAAAATTCCCTGTAGAGGGAATCTTTGAATTGCAGCAAATAAGGCTTTATTTAGAGAAAAATACAAGATTAGCTGTGTACTACCCCAGTAGTAATTAGGGGGAAAAAATACCTGACTGGAAGTTCTGGGGTTAATTTCCATGGAGAATGAATTTATAAATCAAACTGAGGACAATGTAGTCATTAAAATCTGTCTCACCTGTCTTTCCTTGTTGCCCAGCTGGCTGTGTGGAGCTCCAGGGAAAGGTGCTGGGATCACCTTTGGATGGGTGCTGGATGCAGCGAGCTCTGAGAGAGAGCATCTGCTAGCTCCAGAGCTCTTCAAATGTCAGCTGGCTCCTTATCTGGCTGGGCTTCAGGCACTCGTGCTTCCAGGGTGTATTAATTTCCAAAGTCAGGTTTTTGCCCTCTGTTTTGAGGTTCTATCCTTCAGAATTCCTGAACTCTTTCCAAAAATTTCAGCCCCGCCCCAGACCTCTCTTTTAGGTAGGTCTGCCCGCTCTGCAGAAAGGCTTGTGCAGCCCTGTCGTAAGCCAGGAGTGGATTTGGTTTGCCCTGCCCTGTGCTGTGGGGCTGGACTGCTGCTCTCCAGCTCAGGGCTTTCCTGGGCTTTCTCAGCCTCGCTGTCCCTGCAGGGCCCTGCACTGCAGAGACAGAGGACACTCATTGTTTTGCAGGTGCAGTAGACTGTCTAAGTTTATATTAAATGGTGTCTTTGAGAGTTGCCTGAGCTCTTCACTCTGTTTCCAATAAACCGGTGTATCTCTCCCAAAACCTTCTTGGCACTCAGCTCTCTGAGGCTGCAGCTCTCTGGCAGTGGTGCTGTGTCTGGTTTTGGGTTTGGTTCAGTAGGATACGCTCAGTTCCAGCTCTTACCAGCTGGAGGAAACCTTTGAGGAGAGCTGTCCACAGCTACTTTGGTTAGACATGCAAAAATAGGAATGTGCTTCTGCTTGGCCCTCACTGGGACTGGAGAATGAGTGATGTACATCAAAAGAGCAGACCAATACCTTTAACAAGCTCCAGTAAAGGTAAAAAATTAATGTTTTCTTCTGCTAGTAAGAAATACCTGATGCAGAGATTTTTCTTTCAGACATTTATTACTTTTATAACTTATCCAAAATTCTTTAAAGTGCTCCCTATTATTTTTTTCTTCAGTTTAGGCTTACAGAGCTCCTTCACACAGTGATTGTTGCTGGTCCCACGGCATGGAGCAGCATCCTCTGGCACAGACACCTCTGCTGAAGGGCCACAAGTCCTGGTGCACATTTCCACCAGAACAGAGCATGGAAATGATGGCAACTATCTGTAAAATTTGTGTTGGAAATAAGTCCCATAAATGTGGGAGCTTTGTATTACCTTTGACCAGTAAAAGTACACCATGGAGAAGCTGAGGTGTAAATGTTGCTCCTGTAAAATAGTCTTGCGCATTTCTGCAGTTTTTGTGGGCTGTAAAGGTTAACAGAAGATCTCTGTCTTCTGGGTTAGAAACCATAAATGAGCTGAAGAACTAAATGGCAGAGTGGTGGGGAGAAGGTGGGTTTTGGTGGCCTCTCCCCGATTCCACACAGATGACCCGAAGTGCTCGCGTGGGACTCGCAGTGATTATTCTGCCAGCCCCTGGCACAAGGAGTGGTTTTGGTCCTAGAGAACATGATGCTCTGCCCTACTTTAGACAAATACAAAACATTGCCAGCAGGGGGCATGCAAAGGGTGCGATTGCCCAGGGCTTTTGCCTCGGCGGGGCTTTCCCTCAGCAGTAAAATAAAATGGGAGCAGGAGGTGAAGGGACGGTGCGGAGAGGCCGCGCTGGCTGAGGAACCGACGGCTGCTTCGCACTGCCAACAACAGCGCTACCTCCCTCCTCCCCCGAGGGCTTTAGCAGGGCTGTGCTCATGGGGAGGGCTCCGGAGCTGCGGCTCCGTGGGACGATCCGGCAGCTCCGGCACCACGGGGCACGGCAGGGCCGGCTTGGGGCACGGGCATGGGGCATGGGGCATGGGCATGGGGCACGGCAGGGCCGGCTTGGGGCACGGGAACCGGGCATGGGGCACGGCAGGGCCTCCCCGTGTGGGGCTGGCCTGAGCCCCAAATCCCCCGTGACAGCAGGTCAGCAGCATGGCCTGAGGCCATTGGGAACCTGCGCGGGGATGAAAGAAATGCTGTTTGTTGTTTGTGGCCTTGTTACAAATGTCTGGGTTTAAGAAGCCCCTGCTTCTCCCACATCAGCTCTCTAGACAAATCTTGAACCACCTTTGTGGCAGGGCCTAACAAACGCTGTCACTTTGACCTAATCCACTTTTCTGCACAGCTGTGCTAAAGTCACCTTTAGTTTTATCACATTTTAATGCAAACAAGGCCGGAAGGGTGCTTGTTTGGATTGAAGAAGCTGTGACAATTCCTCTGAATGGGAACTTCAGTAACTGGGAAGAAAAATGTGACAGGGAGCTTTATCACTGCATTGTACACAACAATCTGAAAATTATTGCTTCTCTAGGGGCCTATTCTCTTCTTGAGGCCTAGCACAGTCTATGCTAAGCAGCCAGACAGCTCTGAATGGTTTGCCAGTCCTAAAGACAGATTTTAATTCCATTGTTAGTGGGTATCCCTGACTTTCCTAAGAGGATTCAAAGACAGGCTGCAGAACAAGGCAGCTGACATAAGACTTTGGCCAAGCTTTAAAATTCAAATAGCAAAGGAGGTTTTCCCTGGTCCTCTTAAATTAGCCACCCTCGAGTGATGTTTGCTTTCAAAATTTCTCAAGTTCATTCAAAACTAAACGAACTTGCAAAACATGATTTTTTAAGCCCTTTTAGAAAAGTTTGCTTAACCACTGATTTCCTCTAACAGTGTGAATAAAGCAGGGAGGAAAGATCCTTTTTTTCTTTCTAAAACCTGGAAATTGTCATAGTAAGAGGTGCTTTTCAGAAATTACATATATAAACATTTACCAAATATGAGCAAATATTTATATAGGCCTAGGTCATGTTTGTACTAATTTCTTTTTAATACTTCAAGTAAATTCCAATGAAACTGACAAGTACTGAAATGCTGAAAAGCTTTATCTCAGCCTTCGATAAATCTACTGCAAACTGAATATTCAAAGTATTTGCAGGACAATGTTGAACGAATCCTCCTTGAGGCTGCGGGGTGAGGTACATGGAAAATAAGGCATTTGATCTCCTAGGAGACAACCAACTGGTCTCGGTGGGACCAGGAGGCTGGAGCTGCTTGGCTTGCCCTGCTATGCCACAGAACTGGCAAAGCAGCTGACAGTGTCAGGATCCTACTGCAGCAGCAGAAAGAGCCTCTCCCAGAACTCCCAAACTGTCTGTCCTGCTGGAAAATAGTACATTTAATCTGTCCAGGACCCGCAAAACTTCAGCTCGTTGTGTGAAAGAAATGAAAATACCATTCTGGTACAAATAGCAGCCAGGTAATTTTACTTACCTTGTACTGAGTTCTCACAGAGAGAAACACATTTTTGGGGATGTTTGTAAAGAGAGTGGAGCTGTTCCTCTCTCACAGTGCCAGTACAGGAGGGCAAAGACCAAAAAGTGCAGTCTCCCAGTGACAGCTCAGCACTTGACATGCAAAAATGACTGAATTATCCCATTTTGCTGTCTTTTTTCTCTTCCCTCCCACCCCCAGTTGCTGAAATTGCAAATCCTGGTGAACAGAGATGCTACCAAAACCCAAAATTAAATTCAAGAATTCTGCTGTAGAACTGAAAGGGTGGCAGCTGCCCAGGCTGGATTTGGTGAGCACATTTGCTTGAAAATAAATACCCATCAGATTCTGCATCTTTTCTCTAAAGAGAAGCTGCAGATTATGTAGCAGCTGGAAAATACTTCACCACAAAAAGTGATTTTTTTTCCCCATGTATTTTAAGGGAATATGTATTTTGAACGTCTATAGTCTTTAATAACAGAACACTTGACAGCAGCCTGATTATCCTGGTTGTTTCCAGAGCCACTCTGGGGTGCACAGGATGCAGACCTTGGAGGGCAGCTCCTGTTCTCATGGGAACTGTGCAGTGAAATGCAGCAGTTCCTTTTGAACA